CTTGTGCGTCTATAGGGACGGTGGGAAGCCCGCATCGGTCAGCTGCAGGGGAAGAAGTACATGTATCTCGGGCTGTACGACACGGAGGAGGAGGCCGCGGCAGCATACGACCGGGAAGCCATCAGGTGAAAACATTTGGCATTAATATCCCTTGTTTTAGCGAGGTGGATGCAACCGGCACCTTCTCTCTACTGGACTAGAATTGATAGGCCGTAAATCACGCGCCTCTGGTCCATCCGAAACGTCCTGACAACTCTCGCTCGGCTCTTCCAGGCAGAAGGGCCATCATGCCGTCACCAACTTCGACATCTCGCTGGTACGTTCCAAAACTCAGAGCACCGTCTGCAGCCTTTGCATCCCAAACAAAATTCTCGCCAGCTTTCGATTTCCCAGTGTTCGCAGCACTCGTTTCCTAGTGTACATTTTGAGTAGACAGCATCCTTTCTCAATGCTTTCTGGCCGACTTATTTTTTCGACTTCTTCTTCCCCCCTGTCTTAGTGCCCCGCTCCTTGTGCTTTTCTTTTTTCGCTCGCGCTCTTTCGTTACTGACCTGCATTCAAGCCCGCTTACCGCCAGGTACTCCGAATTGTGTCTTAAAGCTTCTCGGAATTTCAGAGGTACTGAAACCCGCGCTTACCGGCCAGTACTCGCAGCTCCTCTCCCAGCAAGCCTCCCAGGCGGTGCAACGTCAGCAGGAGCAACAGCGCGCTCAGAGCCTTCAGCCCCCCCCATTTGCGCCACCCCCCCACGCCCAGCTGCCGCCCACTTCGCCCCCCTCCCTCCAAGCCTCGCCCCGATACGCGCCCCCCCGCGCGCGCACTCCCCCCTCCCGCCCGCACAGCTCCCCCCGCCAAGTCCGAAGCCCCAGCCTGCGCAGCCCGGGGGCCTCCAACCGACTGCGGCCGCAGGCCTCCTCCCCAACGTTTTCCCTCAGCGCCGCGCTCGGGCAGACGCCCCCCGGGAGCCCTCCCTACCACCGGTCACAATCGTGGCCCCGGACGCAGCCGTTGAGCGGCCCCTACGTGGGCCTCGGGGGGTTCGCCCCGGTCGGCCCGCAACCCTCAGCTGCCGTACCCGCTGACGTGTCCTTGGAGCAGGCGGCTCTTTGGCGGTCGGTTTTCGGTCAGCCCGGTGGCGCGCACGTGGGCTGGGGCAACGTGCCAATGCCTCAGCCCAGTCCATCCGAGTTTCAGCCCGGGGCCATGCCACCACAACAGCGGCCAGCCAAATTGGTCGCAAGGCGCGGGCCGGTAGAAGCTCCGCCACTGGCTGCGGGCAGCCCCCCCCTTGGCAGCGGCGGCGGCACAGGAGGGGCGCAGCCGGTGCCCCAAACCGAGGTGGAGAGTACCCGGCCAGGCCTGGCTGCTCGAAGAAGGATGCTGCGAAGGTGACTCTGAACGACGCACTATATCACAGCCTCTTGGCGGCCCATAGCCAGGAAGTGTGCCTTTTCAACTTTCCTTGCAATTCATCGAGATTTACTGATGATCCTTGCAAATCCTCGGAGAACTTCGACTGAACGTATGCGCCGGACCTGTTGTGGTTTCCAAGCTAGGCGTTTCTTTGTGTCACTACTTGCAAAGTAACTTTGTTAGATCTCAAAGTGACATACGTTCTCAATTCGGCAGGCGGAAGATGGCGCTCTCCCAGATGTACCATCAGCAGCGGCAAATCGACGACCTCGAACTGGTTGCTCCAGCGGAGCAGTCCCTCCAATCACAGCCCTCGCCTTATCCAGGCCAAGAACAGCCACTAGAGCAAGAACACCTGCAGGGGTTAGGAGGCCTGCATCCTTCGAGCTACGAGTGAAACGTGAGACAGGACTAGTTTATTCAGGCTACATTATGGTGGTGGGTGGGGCGGGTAGAACTGTAGACATTGCTTTAGACCGGCTGAGATCCTAAGGACGACAACAGGCGAAGTTTGGCAAATTTCAACTCTGGTGCTGTACTGTATAGGATGCTAGAAAAGTAGGCGGCCTCTCCTGGTTGAGGGTGCAGGTTCAAGATAGCCTTTAGCTCACGGACCTTCTTGCTGTTAGAGGCTGAAGCTCTGAGTGTACAAGAAATGTGCCGCGGCCCAGCTCGTAAGAGCGAAGAGTTTGGCGCTGTCCCTGGAGCGGGTAGGATTTTAGTTAGGCGAAATCTCATCGAAGTTTCATCAGTGTGTGAACAACAGTGTGCGAACAACGGTGCGTAGAACTGCATAGACAGTTTCGCTCGGACAAATTTCTTGTAGGCCACTTCGAACTGCCAATGGCAACATTCATCTGGGTTCGTTCCTTTTGGAAAGGGCCTTGAATAAGCAGTAAAAGATCTTTAAAAGGACCCGAGGAGTTTGCTGGACTTTCAAGTTGGTCCAAATTGCCACGGTGACAAGTGGGTCATGTGTTCCGCTAACATCTGTATGTATGTTGAAACAACTGTCGCTGGACTTGTGATCCTTAAAAATGGGTAGAGGAAACAGGATGTGCTTACTAAGTAATTGCTTAACTGTACACAGTGTGCCCTTCAGCAATGCGTCAAGTTCAAAACAAGAATGCCAAAGTCATGAATCGCAGCTTCGCAGCTTTTGAGTTTACTTCTTCTGGCAATCTCATGGCGACCTCTGAATCTTGCACTACTTAGCCTCGCTCCCTTGGGGTCCCCCAGTCAGGCAGATTATCTGATCGAAGGGGAACCAGAAAGGTCCCATACTGAGCCTGCTGAAAACAATCAGGTTTGAGGAGTTGTATGCGTTCAGGAGAACTCCAAGTCGTCTCTGATGAGAATCAAGTTAAGGAGACAACCAGTCCCTTTTGCACAGATCGGTAGGAACGGAGTCATCGCCGTCGTCATCTTCCAAGGCATGGCAATTGGAACCAAGCATAACACCCAGACACCCGCATGCCATTGGATTCGAGCTGGTCAATTGATCAAATGCACGTCAATATAGGGACCATACGAGGTGGCCGGAAAGTGCTCTAAACCTGGGCACAATCTGGAAGGGGTGAGAGGAGTCCCACCGTCTAGCGCTTGTTTGTTTGCACTGTTCCGAGCATTATTGAAACATCGTATTTGTGAATTCAACGTTTGAGATGCAGCTACATTTTTGCAGATAATTTTTCGGTCTGCCGCAGACTGCCATGATAAGATTAAAGTATCCGAGCTTGAATCCGTGTACAATGACCTCACAGGAATGCAGGAATATCGAGAGATCGACTGGCTGATCGAAATTCAATTGAGCGGTTGTAGTCGGCATCGAGCGGCCACCGTAAATATGGTTGCTCAGAATGAAGAATAAGTGAAAGTCAACAAGCCCTTCATCAGTCTGTAGTCCTTCCTTGCAATCGAATCTGCAAGGATGATCAGGTCTTGCAATCTACCTCTTGCAGTAGAAACGATGTTGGGTGCGTCTCGAACGTCGATCGGAAGGGTCGGTGGAAACGATCGACGGCTGCGATAAACTGCGCAGAACCCTGGCTCCGTCCACGTAGCAGCATGGGACAGTGGCCGTCGGCTGCTTCGCGGCCGCCCTGCTTCAGGCTTCAAACTTGAGGGTGGGAGTTCAACGCTGCATTCAACTTCAAGAGTGACACTTTGCATGTGGCAGCGATGGGGCCGCTTCTTCTCAGAGGACTGCTCCTTACTCGTGTTCCTGGGTCTCTTCTCAACCGCCATGGCGCCTTTGAAGCTGCCCTTGGAGCGCGCTTTGTCAGCTCTGCGGAGGGCGCCAGTGCAGAAGCCGGTGAGAGGATGATAACAGTCTTCACTTTTGAGATTTGAAGAATCAAGAGGCAGCGATTCAACTGCTCCATTCAACATCTGTTCTGCGATAGTTGGCAATGTGGGTGGGTCTCAGTCAGCCCAGAGCTTGCCGCTTACCCTTTCTGAAAGCTTTGCTGTATCTGAATGCTGTAAGGGTAATCCTCTGTTCCACTGGTCGTCTGCTTCCGGCTGTACTTGGTAAGCTCGTACTCCTTCAGTATTGATTTGTTTCCGTGGTGGGTTTAGGCTTTCATTTGCACTATACAATTATTCAACTTACCACCACCACATTGATGAGCTTCAACACAGAGTCTTTGATCAACACTCTTGTTTACTTCTCACGTTGTAGATTGCACATCACCGCTGATCATTTTCCATGTTTTCCATGTTTTCAGCCTGAGAGGTTGAAAATTCATGTGAAGGCTGAAACAGAGCACCTGATTGGCCAGCATGTTGGAATCAAACTTCAGACTCAGACGCTTTTAAGTGTGAGGAGTCTGTGGTGGACCTGGCTTTTGCAAAAAGTAGATGAGGAATGATCTTATTTCATGGCGCCTTTTGGTTCTCTGGTGCAGATGTGACACCGGATCTCTTCCTCACGAGGATCGGCAAGGGGTGCGAGGGCTTGGTCGACAAGTTCCCAGGGGGCCTGCAAGAGATCCTTGGAAGTGGCGGCCAAAAGTTGAAGAAGATGGGTGTAGCGGTGAAACAAGTGAGAGCAACTGCCTCTTTAAGCAACTGCCTTGGTTATGTTTTGTTGCACCAGGTTGCCCCGGCCTTCGCAGTTGGAGATTTCAACTGCTGAACTTTTTCAACTGCTGAACTTGGAATCATGCAACTTTTGATTCACACTTGAAGTTTGTCAACCGGAGCACCGTTCCTCCAATGTTCCCATGAAGCGCACTTGATAATGTAGGGGCTTGTGGATTGGAGGCTGAGTCGAATAGCTTATATTTGCATGATCTGACCCCTCTGCAAACTGTTTGCACTGCAGCGTAAGCTGATCATGCGACACACAGAGCAGTTCAAGCAGGGAGTGTGGCACCCGATGTAAGTCTTCAAGCATAAGTGTGGAAGTTTCTATACCTAGAAAGCTCCAGCTTGCATCTTGCTCATACACAGCAGAAACATCTATGTAGCAGCAAGATTATCGATTCAAACAGTTTTTCTGGCTGCGATCGTTTGGTTCTGGAGTGAGCCTGATCGAACCTTTGGGGAGGAGGCTGGGTAAGAGCTTGTGTCAAGGTGTCCATGGTGTTTTCTCAGAGAATCATGGTTGTATTTCTGCAGTCCAGCCGTCTTGAAAGCTAGGAAAGGGCGCATGCCAGCCGTGGCAACTCCCCTGGCACCTTTGGCAGCGTCTACAACTTTGGAGGACGTGGCAGAGGGGGCAGCCTCAGCGGAAACTGCCGCCGCAGCGGAAACATGTAAGCTCACCCGAGAACGCAGGAAAGTCGGTAGAGACCGGTCTCCAGGGCTTCAAGACAGACGGATTTATGAAAGAGTCTGGTGATGCGTGAAGAATCCTGAGGGGAAGAATCCTGAGGGGAAGGCCCCTTGATTCTCCACTCTGATCAGTCCCATCCGAAAAGGCTTTTCCTTTCACCGACATGTTCCAGAATGTGCAGATTGAACCTGAACAAGCCCTCAGTTTGTACCATGGCCGTTTGTGACGACGTTGCGAGGAAGCGCCTCAGTTCTTGCATTTGTGGTATGAGAGCCCTTCCCCCTTCCTAAGTTGACGGGTGTGCACTGGGCGCTAAATATGTAATCCAATTCGGGGCTGTGGCATGAAACTTATCGAGTAGTGACGAGCGACTTGAGTTATGGTTGAGTAAACCAGCTTTACTCCACCATAAGGAACTTCTTGAAGCGGCATGCGTGCTGATGCTGATTCTTTCTGTCCTGCAGCGGAGCCTTCGACTGAGTCTTCAGCTGAGCCTTCAGCCTAGCGCTGACTTCAGAAGCGGAGGGGTCCCCAACTTTCTCATGTGGCCCCCCGACTGTCATGGCAGCGCTGGATATGAACGGAGTCCAGCGAAGCGAATTACGAGCAGTTGCCTGATCAGTTGGACAAACGGCACTCTGAGGCGGGAGGAACCGGAGCTGTCGGAACCAAGAGCAGAAGCTTCGTTTTTCCAGGTTCGCCGCTTGGCATCCGCACTCAACGTCCTGTTTCAATCGGAATGCCCGTTTGTGAGGCAGACGTCAAGCTAGTTCGCTTTGAGGCCCGCCAAATAGCTACTCCTAGAGTTGTGGTCAAACGTTATCTGGGTAGAGCGCATGCCCACACGGTCACTATTTGGTGTCAGGTTCTGGCATGCGAGTACGGCGTTTTTTGGCAGGAGCGCCTGTCAGAAACCCGCCGATCTGCCATCCCGGGCTTGAGTAGGTTGGTTGCTGGGTTACAAGATCATAGATCAGCAGAAGATGTTTCCAGGGACGTGTCACCACTTGATTTGCAGCCGCAAGCAGCAGAAAGCCAGTTTGGAAGACTTTGTTACGATGTTCTTTCTTAAAAGGCCGTGTCAGTTCGTCGGAACAATGGGGCTGCTGCGATAGGACCTATATTCGTAGGAGGTGCTTACTCGAGGGGCTTCACGTATGCAAGATTCGTTGGATCGACACCAAGAATAAATATTTGCGGGCAGTTAGGCGCTGCAGAGCTGGCTGCTACTATAGACGATCCAAGCTTGCTAATCAATCATGAGATCCGCGGATGAATGCATTAATCTTGCCATGACGCTGCACTGAGCGAATATGCGCAACATTGTTTGAAGTACCTAGCTCTGCTCAACGGTTGACTTGCTATGCGTGTTGCGCAATCATGGAGGGATCTGCCCGATAGAAGATTCGGGTGACCTGAACTATAGCTTGAAGGCAGCATGCTTGGCGAAACGTATCGACGGCTAGGTATAGTGGCATGCCTTTGACCGCTTGATCGCTTTCGCTGGAGCATGACTGCGCTATGTTTATCTGGAGGATCGAACCTTTGAATTAATGCATTGTCCAACTGCAGAAACTCGTCATGACGAACATATACGTGTACGTGACAATACGGCCATGCATCTTGTCTAACAATACGGTAGATTCTTGCACGAAGATCAACAAGTTTCTTCTACACATGCAAAATTACTGTTTGCAACGATCCGGAAAAACAAAAATCACTATGAAACGCAAGCTTGGGATCACCCTTCCAGATCTCATGAGCACACTGAGGCACCCTGTTCATCGAAAGGAAGCCTCGGATTGTCCCCTTGATATCATACACACACCATTGAAGGACGCGCCGTTGAGACTACCCAGTAAGCAGCTTATAAAGTATCTTGCTTCGCTTTGCATTGGTCGACCACCCCTTCCCTAGAGGCGCCCTTGTCAACGTTCTGTAACTAAGCTCAACTCAAACATCAGTATCGAAGGACCGCAAAACTGCCTAACTACAATTCTTCCGAAGCATGTCTAAACCGCAATTTCAAAATTTCGAGCAGATGTATGTACACAGGCTACTGATTCATTCCGATCTTATTTGTACGACAGCAGGTCGTCTCTTGGTCACTGAGTACCCAGGCAAATCGACAATCAATGAATTGTAGAACCATCGGGTAGCTCCTCGACGAAAACGGGGCCTGATGACGTTACGAGAGGCTTGCCAGCGAAATGTGCGTGCCCGCCTGCATTCGAGTACGACACATGTCACTCACCCAACAAGGCTTTGCAGCCGATGAATTGCATTGGCCACCCTCGAAAGGCCAAACAGATTCCTGCCAGAATAATCACTGAACAACAATCCTTTGAAAAGTCTCCCTAACGGCTGCACATCAGTCCCTCCCAACCGGAAGCAGGCAAGACAACACAACACGCTCTTTTGAACCTCAAAGGAAAATGTTCGAAGTGGCTTCAATGTGATCGGTGTCTTTTCAAAGGACACGGGATGTTCGTGGCGAAATAGACACAGGGAGTGCGTGGGTGCCGCACAGCCTGCAACACGGCCTACGTGGTGCTCTAGCACTTTCTTAGGGCCGGGGGCTGACCTGGGTGCAGCTCCGGCCCGGGGTAAAGAATGTGCGGACAGAATGTCCATTTTAGGTTTGGAATCATCAGCCCTGAACCCCAAATTCTAAAAAGGACGCGGACAAGCCGTTTGAGGTCGCCCAACAGAAACGACTGGTCACTGTTTTAGAGCCGCTCGTGAGTACCGGTACTCCAACTTTTTGTACGGGCAAAAAGCAAACGTCCGAAGTCAGAGTAGAACCGCAGAATTCCGCGAATGGAGAGCAAGCCAAGAAAGGTCCAGACGCCGGGAATACACTCATAATCATCTGAAATTAGCGAAACAGCAAATGCGCTATCATCAAAAAAGTCAACGCGAGGACTCACCTCTGATCGTCAACAGAGGAACCATTTTCTCCCATACTTTCGAACTCAACTTCTTGTCCGGACTGTCACTCGGAACACCCCCCTGCAGTGAATGAAACGGAATGAGTGCTCCAGCATCAGAGAAGTGTCATCATAGCACCAGTCACAGCAAGCGCCAAGTGATACAGATATACGAAGGAGCCCTGCAAAACTTGCCCCAGTCTAAGATACGCCTAAATCGTGTCAAAGAAGATCACATAACTCGTAAGAGCTAGGAGCACGTTTCATGTGAGCGACTGAGTGATCAAGGGCCTCCCTTACCTCTAGGAATACGCGATCCCCGATGGACGACGACACTGCAGGCTCCAGTACCTGCAAGGAAAGGACGAAGTCAGAAGAGAGATTCTGAAACAGTGCCACAACCAGGTTGCAAACGAGAGGAAAAAAGGGCTTTTAGCCTTGTCTCTGAGCGTGGCCTAATTCCCACAAGGAACTTCGTCACAGTCTGTAACCTTTGAGAGGGGAAGTGCTGAAGAGCACACATCGAATCGCAGCACTCAATCCATCATAGACGTGCCACCAACCCACCCGTCTGCCTTAAAAGCCTTTACACCTTCCCTCCTCTGAAAACCCAGCCCTGTAATGGCACACAGCAGAGCCCTACCTTCACTTTCCGCTGGTCATCCTTCTCGTCCGTCCCCGCAGCCAGCGGCCCCTCCCCCGCCAGAATCATCGCCTCGCTAGCCACCCCACCCAGCTTGGCCGGCTTCAGATTTAGGATCAAAACCACCAGTTTCAGCAGCAGGTCCTCCTTCTTCACGTGCTTCTTCAGCCCCGCAACCACTTGGCGCATCTCCCCCGGCGCAATCTCGACCTTGACCACTATGAGCTTTTCGGAGTTGGGGTGGTCCTCGATCTCCGTGACGCGCCCGACTTGGAGCCACGCCTTGGAGAAGTTTTGCTCATCTCCGGGGGAGAGGCTAGAGGATGGGCCTGCACAAGGAAAGGGGACTGCTGTTCAGAAAGGTTCAGAATACACAACGAAACAAGAGAAATTGTTCAAATGCACGATAGACATTCTGCTCATTTTCAATCTAGAACTGGTTTATGGGCCTGCTGAAACAAGGTGATTCACTGTCCAATGGCTGTGCCTGTGCAGCAGAACGACTGAGACAGGCCCTGCTTCTGTGAGTAGAGCAGGGGTGCAAGTGCAGAGAAGAAGAGAGGATCAAGGTGAAAACAGGAAAGGGCGTCACTGGACCCTTACAGAGAGACGCAAGTTTCTTAACCAACATAGAACCAGTGTTACATCAGCAACCACTGAGACCAGCGACAGCGGTGTATGATTTGGCATCTCAATAAGCACCAATGCGTTTAACCTTGACCAATGGGTCAAACCTTGACAAAGTGGCTCTGCAGCTTCAAGCTGACCCTTTTGAGAGAACGACCTGAATCCTCTTTTAAAAGCTGACGTGCACAAGCCCTGATAATCGTCCCACCAGTCAGCCTTGCTTTCAAGGTGCATATCAGCAATCGCTTATAATGCATCAAGGCCATTTTGTAGCAATCAAATAGCAAGGTTGGGGCCGACAAACCTGGCTCAGCGCTTGGGTCCGGAGTGCCAGCAGGATGCACGTGCGTAGACGGGTCTGCATGCGCCTTGTCTGAAACCCCGCCAGGGGGGACAGGGGGCCCCACAATCGCAGGAGCGTCACTTGTCGCCGGCTTCAGCACGGTCAGGCCGCCTGAAGGGGAGGCCGCAGCAACCTGGATTATGAATGGTGCTCATTCGATTAGTGGTGAAATGCCTGATGGCTGAGTGGCTAAATCCTGTGTGGATGAGAGGTAAGATGCTTGACTACAGAGAGGTAAGCGGCTTCCATGTTTGATTAAGGGGTGGTGTAACATAATCTGGAGTGCTAAATTGCCAAGGACATGTGGTTCAGCAACAGTAATGAAGTCAACATGTTGACACCAAACGGCTCTGCCAGGCTCAGGCCGCACAATTGTAGGAGCGCTGAGAAGATAGGAATGCAACCCAGGAAGAACATCGATAGCCGCTCGCGCTTCGTTGAACAACATAGCCAGTCAGACAGCATGGTAATCATGGTCCCAGTGGTAATGGTGTCTGGTGGCAATGTGTAACCTACGAGGCAATATTTCCCAGCCATGGGCCAACCTGAAGCCCCAGACAACAGCAGTGCACATCGCCTGACGACTTACTCAAAAAGGTGCCATTATTGGCAAAACATTACAAGAGCTTTGAGCGCTCTGCATTGGAAAAATATTTTTAGCATTCCAATCTTGTCACAAAACACAACACTCCACTTCAAAGCACCCCAATTCATATGTACCTGAGCAAGAGTTTGGGCCTGAGGTACAAAGGACGGGGCGTCTGCATTTAGCTTCGTGGGCGTTGAGGCGCCTGACGGCCTCGGCGCGTCCTCTCGCAGCGCCGCCGCCCCTTCATGGCCATCACCTGAGGATGCCATCGCAGGAGACTTGGAAGGCCGGGCTTGAAGGCGATCAATCAGCTTGTTCACGGTCTCCAAAGCCTTCTCCAAGCTGCTTGTATCGGACATGGCGCTCTGGGTGGTGGTGTGTTCTGCTTTGAAGACTTTGAAGATCAAGGAGGAGGCTCACATTATCCACCTGCATACGCGGACCGCTTGGACCGGATATCCACTTAAGGCCACCCGAAGGTTAAGCAGACCGAATATGAAAACTGTGGGTTTAAATAATACTGGAATGTAGCTGCGTACCTTTGAAATTGAACTGGTTTGTTAACCAACGTATAAGCAGAAAATCAAAGCAAGCATACGACAATCTATCACAGATTCTCGTCCAAAAGAATAGCAGGACCTGACTCTGACTCTGGCAGAGGTTGCAGAATCAGATTTACATCAAAACTGAGAAAGAAGCCACCCTTTTCACGCATCACGGGGTGGTGATATACTTCGCTTGCATTTCAGCTCAGAAGGAACGGGTCTCTAAATTCAGCAGCTGGACGTACAGATGCAAGCGGAGGCGCCCACATTCCGGCCGGTGAGGAACGACGCATTGCCGGGTTGCAGCTTTCACTGCATTGTTTCTGCAATTGTTTGCTCATAAAACAGGGATCTCAAAGTGCGTCACTCTGTTTACCTCCACTGCAACGCAGCATTGCGTTTCACATTTGGCCTCAGTACCAGAAAATGATGACTTGGAGCTTCGTCTTCGCTTTGGAAGTTGTTGTTGTCTTTGGAAAGAGAAGCCCGTTCGAAAAACAAGGTCTTGAAGTGTCAGACAGAGACTTCAGCATTTCTACCACTGGTGGCATGCTTATTTGCGCGCACGTGTGGATGCAGGACGTGCTACATGAGCTCTTCAAACTGGTCTGGGAAGAAACTGCAAAGGGTGAGAAACTTCTGGCCAGCAACTGATGTTTGCCACTCAAGCACGTCATTTGATTGCCCCGCAACTCGTAGTTCCATCAATAGCTGATAAGGTTGCCATGGAAGAAAGACACCAGGGAGACTATGTCAGTGAAGCAATGTGAGATGAAACTCAGGTCTGATTCTAGTCATGGAGTGCCTCAGAATATGGAGGTCCTTCTTTCGCCTTTCCAATAAGCATTAGTTTCTGTCCTGCCATCAGAAGTAGAGGAAGCGGAGGGTGCGCCAGGAGAGGAGACCCCGGCCGCCGCGGACATTTCCAAGAAGAAGAGAAACACTACAGGCAAGGCCGTGCGAAATCCTTAGCCCTTATAACTCCCCCTTTTTTGCCCTACTACTTTGTAGGTTGTTAGTCTTACAAGTACCTCCAGTGTTGACGCTGTCACCGTCTCCTCAAGCTCTGAGTTGAAATCTGTTGCATGGACCCTGTGCGATTGGTACCAGCTCAGCCGTTGATAGCTCACAGGGGTGGGGTAAGAATTGGGGGCTAAAGCTTTGTTAAAGGGTTCGAGCAGAATGGTCGACAGTGCAAAGCTTTACGTTACAGGTTCTTAAAAGCACATTTATTGGAACTCATTTGAGATGCCTCGGTGATCTCAAGCCAATCAGTCTGACCATGCAGCAAACGCACACGCACTCCGACTGAGCTGCGAGCTCTTGAGGCTGCTCATTGCCGGTGAGGAACTCTTCCTTTCACTGTCGGCACTCACTTGTCGCCGGTTTGGGTTTCAGACTGTGCCATCTTTCAGCGTTTTTGCATAGAGGATTCACCGAATAAGTTGGTCGTTCTAGCTGAGTTCTGCTCAAGGGACCTGGCTCTCTGCCAAACAAACAGTGATGTGAGAGGAGTGGAACTCGTCGGTAAAAGCAAGGTCCTCTCAAAGCCAGCCGTTTACAATCGTTTCACCCATGACGATGACTTATTGTGCCAGAGCCCTCCTACTCTGCTCAAATGAGTCGTCCTTAGTTAGTCGGTAGGATACAACTTCGGGTTAATTGGGCAACTTTAGAAGGAAGTCGTCATCTTTCCCTTCACTCTGTTGAAGAGATTGGGAGGGGCACAGATTAGACCACTTAGACCTTAAAGCGCCACAGTGACGTGTTCTGTTCACCAATTGCAGAAGCGGTGGGGAGGGCGGCCCTGGTTGCGGAAGCCGAGGGACAAGATTGCATCGAAGGCAGCCACCTCGAGCGCATCTTACCACAGCTGCTTCTAGACTTCTGAGCCCCCACTCTCCACTGAGGCCGTCTCCAGCAGCAGCTACCAATCCTGGGGCTTCACGTATTGTTGGATAACACGCCCTCTTCCGGGTTCAGAGCAGGTGGTCGTTGACGCATTGATCGATGATAGAAGATACTGTGCAACTAACGTTGGGGCCGAAGTGAAGTTGCGGGGGAGACAACTAGAGAGACGATGTCGAGCAGTCGGCGCTTATGTCATAAGAGCAGTCCCTGAGCATGACGTCCCCCCGGTCGGTCACCGTAAAAGAAGGCGACAACTTGTGGCGCATCGCCGAGGACCTCGGCGTCAGCTGGGACGCACTGCGGAAGGCCAACGCTGACGTCACTCATGACGTCATCCAGCCTGGCACCGTCCTCCGAATCCCCCAGCCTCCGCCCCTGGACCCCCCTGAAGCCGTCGAGGTCGGGGAGGGGGATAGCTTATGGACGATCGGGCAGCGGTGGGGGGTGGACTGGCAGCAGCTGAAGCGGGCGAACGAGCTCGAGGATGACGTCATCATGCCGGGCGAGGTGCTGCGGATACCGAGGGGGGAGGGGGGCGTGCGCGGGTGGGTCCAGCGGGCGGTGAAGCGGATAGCGGGCCAGCGGACCAAGCCGGTGACGGTGCGGGAGGGGGACACCGCGTGGGACATCGCGGCGCGCTTCGGGATCACCGTCACAAAGCTGCAGGTAGTTGTTTCAGAATTCAGGGTTTCATAGTTGCAGGAAATGAATCGCTCAGCATACCGGGTCTGCGGAGGTTCGTGGGGGTCACGTGCTCATTGAAAAGTAAAGGAGGTGCTTCATAGACTTTTTGAAACTCGTTCCCGTCGTGGGTACTTCTGTCTTGTACATGGCAACCGCAGACCGCACATATTTTCTTGCCGATCTTCCGTTGACCCTTTTCGAAAACACACTGCTGGTCGGAGGCTCTCAGCCGAGGTCCTGAGAATCGCATTTTCTTGCAACCGTAGGCCTTGCCTCGTTTGTGGGGAAGGAAAGAACAGCAAAATATAGATCTACTTTGACGAGAGAAACAGTCCTCCCGTGTTCCTTTGCGCAGGCCCTGAACCACGGGCTGTCGCTGGACGCCATCTTCCCGGGAGACGTGGTCCTGGTGCCTCACTCCGCGCTCGATCGCGCCCAATGTTTCCTGGGGCTCGCCCCGCGCCTCGGGCCACTTCAGCGCGCCGATCCAGACAACCCGGCGTCACCCTTCGTCTTGGCAGGCCCCCTTCACAGCAGCGAAGAAGGTACGTTCACCAAGGGGGGCTGCACACAACGATGAGGAGGAGCAAGGGACGGTTGCATGCTATTGGCTGACGCAAACTTTAATCCGTGAGCTGCGCCAGAGTCCCCACTGCCGTGAAAGTTTGGATTCAACGGATGTCGCGTTGACGTGATGCGGGTACGATCGTTGATGCAAATTCTCGTCCGATCCAAAACGTGCTCACTCCGTCTGCTTTGCATTCGTCAATGCCTTATTTGACCCTCAACTCCAATTTTGACATTAGCTTGGCCGGCGCCTCCTTTCGATGTAAGAAGCAGCGTCACCGCTGGTTCTTACACCTCGCTGGCGCTGCGCTGTGCAGCCATCGCTCGGATGCGGCAGCGGCACCGCAAGTTGCTCAACGGCATCCGGCACGTCGAGAGCAGCTTCCTCATGCCGGCGCCCGTTGGTGACGACGGCTTTAGCATCGGACCGCTGCAAATAAGGTAAAGCTCTCAATTGGATGGACAGGGATTTCCTCCTTGGTTGCCGATGACCGTGTGATGGCTTTCCGGTTTGGTAAAGTGCGTGCTGTGTTTCCCACCGAAAGTGATTCTGGGAGCGGGAGTAGCGAACTGGAAGGTTTGGGAGAGCGAGCTTGGCTCATGTAGCGGCCGTCAGCCGTAGAGCTAGGAGAAAGCATTCCGCCAGTCCCATTTTCGACTATCTTGGCGGCGGTGAGACTGTTCAAATCGCCATTGAGGGGTCGCAGCCCACTTCCAAGTCCTCCGAAAGAGGTTCGAGGGAGGTTCTTGGCAGAGGGTAAGAGAACATAGATTGCGTAGCAGGCGTTTCCTAGAGCGTTCCATTGTGCTTTTTGACAGAAACCCCGTCATAGCCCCGACGCTTTCTGTTTCCCAGCAAGGAGTACCACATGGACGCGTGGTGGCTGGAGCAACTAGACGCGGCGCACTATGCGCGCGTGGACGAGGTGGAGCACGCGGAGGCGACGGCCATCCAGTACTGGCTGCGCTACTGCCCGTGGGCGCTCGACTTCGGGGACTACCAGACGCTCGCGCGCATCCACAATGGGGGGCCCGCCTTCTACGAGAACCTCAAGACCACCAACTACTGGTGAGCACTATGTATAACGCGATTTGAATGGGATACGAATATCGTAAAAAGTCGGCTGTCTGGAGAAGCTGCAGAAGGGGGAAAGGGAGTTAAATCTTGCGGCGCGCGAGCCTCAGTCCGAGCAAGCGTTGCAGGCGCCTCCGGGCTTCGTCGCTTACGTTGTTCGTCCTTGAATCAACTGGCGCTTCAATAGAATTTGAGATACGCTCCCTGCGTGGCGCAATCAAATTCGTGCAAAGTCGTTGACGTTGCACGTCATGTGTTTGAGGTGTTTCTTCGTAAAGCCGGAGCGGGTGATACTTGGCACTCTTCGGTACCTCGAGCGAACGTTCAACGGCCGTCGATCCGCTTGCCAACTGTAAGCACGTCCATGTCTCGCAGGCGGCGGGTGCAGAGCGGGCTTAGAAAGTACGGCTATCGGGAGCGGCCCAAGTTCTACGACTTTCTGCACGAGCCGGCGTCGCCCGACCGCAGAGCGAAGCAGCTGCGCCTCGAGGCGCCTCTTCTGGGGCTTGTCCTCTCGCCCCTCCTGCGGCGGCCCAAGAAGACGGACGAGCAACAAGGCCCACAGGGGGGATCTTGAGTTGCAAGAGCCTGGGTGTTTTGAAATGTTTTGAAAGTGGACGACTCTGGCGGTAAAAGTCAAAAGAAAAGTTTGAGTGCGTCGTGTGTAGCTTTTCTGGGTGATTCTTATCTTATCTTATCTGGATGTAAGGATGGTGGTCAAGACAGGGTCGCAAAGATCCGGGATCACGTCTGACATTTTGCAATCCGGTGTCCATGAAGCGACTTGAGGCAGTAGTGGGGCGTTACTTGCCCTTTAGTGGAGGTCGGCCAAAAGAGTCCATTTCCGACTTCATCGCTGAGGAATGTTGTCTTAAAAGGTTTGGAGCTGTAAACTCTATGTAACGGCATCATTTCTGCACAAGCAATACGCAAATGGATACCGCTCATATGTGACCGGTGTCTAGCAGGGTCGCCGGAGGGAAAGCCTATTTGATGACTACCTAGCACCACGTGGCGGACACGGTTAACCATTGTAATATGCAGCATTTGTGATTCTGCGTATGTGATCGAGCCAAATTACTTAAAAAAACGCCACTCCTGGCCTCTTCTATTTTGAATTCTGATTGAACCGGAAATCTATTGCACATTTGGATGCTTACTAATTATGTTATGCATGAATTTACCATCAAGTTCAATCATATGCTGTTGACATCCCCTAGGTTGGACTAGATTAGCTAGGCTTAGCGCACGCTCAAATTCGATAAGGTAGCTAGGCGCTCGGAACTCAAACATTGATTCTTATCTATGCCATGGAAGCCTATGGCCCGTGTGGCTACGGCGTTTGAAAAGAGAACATCATGCATGCTACTTAACGGCAGCATGATTAGATGCATACATGGGCTATAGGCTCACGACTGTGTAAATGTTTTTCTAATATATATACATTGCACTGCATAATATACGTACATGTCACGGTTCTGTGTGCGTTGTCCATGATACAGGGAAGGACCGCAACCACTAAATTTGACAATCCAGCATGGATACAACTAACGGCAGCACGCCAGCTACTGGTCACGGTCCTACGCCTCTGAAATTCTAGCAACGTGCAGCTAAAGAATCGTGCCACGATTCGCACCGCTTGTCCTGCGATTTGACGCTTGCTGTGCCTATACCTGTGCCTGTGGTTTTCGCAAAAGACAAACCCTTCACCTTGAACCATCGGAGCCACGTATTGTCAACCTTATGGTCGGTCTGACTAGCCTGGCGTCGAGCTTTTACAAAGCGGTGCATATGCGACTGCCCCTTAAGGATTGCAGAGGAGATCCCGGTTCCCCCGCAACTCAAAAACCACACCTCGCCAGACTCTTTCACTAAGGCAGGGCCCTTCAGAAAAGACCATCCCCCCACGTGGCTCTCTGGCGACACCCAGTCCCTGAACCGTAACTAAGAGTCGCCTGCGGACTTTATAGCACGTGGCTTCGTAAGCAAACCTCAGAGCGGAGCCTCAGCAGATTGGTCGTTCTGGGACCGGTTCCCCGACGCCCTCTTCAGGGCCCAGCCCCCCCTGATTGCGGCGGCCAGTCCAAAAACTTCCTGCCCACCAATGATGGAGGCATGTACTCTTGCTCCGGCTCCTCCGCTTGACCGGGCGGGTAAATGTAACCCTTGCCGTAACCCAGTTGCCTCATGAGCCGGGTGGGGGCGTTGCGCAAGTGGAGAGGTACCGGCTCGTTCTGCCCGGTTGATGCCACCGCCTCCTGGGCGGCCTGTATGGCGCGGTAGCAGGCGACGGACTTGGGCGCCAGCGCGAGGTAGGCGACGCACTGCGCCAGGCACACGTCGCACTCGGGCATACCTAAGAAAAGGAACAAATGGTTAGAGTCCCCATGGAGTCTGGTCATGGTAGAGATCGGAAGGATATCCAAAAGACAACGAAGGCGACAGGAAGGAAATAAGCAGCGGTGTGTGTGCGGATCGCACCGCGTACATGTATCCGTGGCAACATTGGAATCTGCACACAGTTCTAGGTCTCGAAATGAGGTGAGCCCAACCAGCGATACTAAATACGAGCTTCATATTGAAGACAACAGCCACGAAAGAAGGAGAGTATGAAGCGTATTATGAAAAGAAACAATCCGACTTCGAAACAAACAATACCACCAAACAGCACTAGGGCGAGATGACAGAACAATGCACGGAAGATAGCGAAGTTGAGGTCTGACGTCGGGACCTGGTTAATTCAGTGGCTTTGAATCGCAGATATCCAGTGCTCGCAAGTAGCCTCTCCGCGTCAAGTGCAAGCCCATCTGGGCTCCATACGACGAAGTCGTAGCAGCCCAAGTTTGGTCGCCACACGCGTATGATAGAGCTCATTTGCGCTCACCGAGAAAGTGGCACGCCTGGTACGCCGCGACCGCCTGCGGCAGCGCGTTCGGGTCCGCCAGCCCGACGTCCTCGCTCGCAAACCGTACCAGCCGCCGCGCGACGTACAGCGGCCCCTCGCCCCCCCGCAGCATGCGCGCCAGCCAGTAGAGCGCCGCGTCTGCGTCCCCCCCCCGCATCGACTTGTGCAGCGCGCTTATGACGTTGTAGTGCTCCTCGCCCGTCTTGTCGTACAGCACGTGCGACCGCTGCAGCGCCTCGCTGACGTCAGCGAGGCTGATCACCACGGGGCCGCCGACGTCAGCTTTCCGGGGAGACGAGTCGGTGGCACGCTGGGGGCCACTTTCCCCGGGCTTTTCCTCCCCCCCGCCGAGGCTCGACTTCCGCAGCGGCTCCGAGCTCGCTCGCCCCGACGGCGGGACCCCTTCTGCGTCCCAATGCTGCCACGGAAACTCCGCTCCTTCCACCGGACTCCCGAACGGACCGTCCGTCAAACCCGCCGAGACTTTCGACGGTAAAGCCCCCCGGCCGGACGGGGAGACGGGAGAGGCCGATTCCGGCCCGCTCGAGGCTCCCGCAATCTCGCTTAACGGCCCAGCCTCTCGCCTCCGCCCTCCCACTTGCGACGCCCTCTCGAGCGCCGCCCCTGCGGCCATCTCGAGCGCGTTCAATGCCGCCCGAGCATCTCCGTCTGCGGCTCCCGCTAAGAAGTCGATCGCTGCCTCCTCTGCCGCGAACCGCGGCTTCTTCTCCGGAACGTCGCCGCTCGTGGGCGCGGAGGGCCCTGTTTCGGGGGCGCGTTGCAGGGACTCCAGGCTGGCCAGGCCCCGCGCCTCGTCCGACAGGGCCCTCTGCAGGACGGCCTTGATGTGCTCCGGCTGGAGCTTGCTGAGCGTGAAGACGCGGCACCGCGAGAGGAGCGCCGCGTTGAGCTCGAAGGAGGGATTCTCGGTGGTGGCGCCGATGAGGGTCACGTCGCCCGCCTCGACAGCGGGCAGAAAAGCGTCCTGTAGGGGGAAAGACGGGGTTAAGTGGTGGCGCTTTGCTGATGGTGAGGACTCGTCCTCGGTTGTTCAGAGTGGGCGAACCAACCGCCTTCGAACTTCAAGGGGGCCTCTGTTGGTGGGAGTGCTAGCATCAGGTGAGTGAGTATGTGAAGTTTGACAGCAGGTCGACCAAGTTCTCGACCACATCGAGACGATAGCAGGCCGAGGTATGTGGGCTCATTTGAGGAGCAAGCCCAGCAATTTTAGAGCCGCTATTCAGAGGCCAGCTTTGCAGGTGACTACTATACACATCAAGAAAGACAAGATTGAACAAACGAGATTACCACCAATGAAAAGGGAGATATTACGACACTTTGGAACAAAACTAGCATCAAGATATATCCGTAAACATCCTGTATCTCTATCCTTATCCTTAAACCTGCCCGGATGGCCTTTCCGAACGCTACCACGACTGCGTCTCGAAAAATCTCCAGAGTATGAACCGAACCTTTTATTGTACGGGAAACATGTTTTGGAGCAATCACGAAGCAATCAAGACGATCTGGAGCCAAGCAGATGGCCCCACCTGTTGGCTCTTATTGAATCGGTGCGTCTCGTCCACAAACAGCAGTGTGCGCTGGCCCATCCGCCGCGCGTTCTTCGCCGCCTCCAGCACTTCCCTTACTTCCTTCACACCTGCCGTCACGGCCGACAGCTGTACAAACCTGCTCGAAACCTGTCTGGCAATAACCCTCGCCAGCGTCGTCTTCCCGCTCCCCGGGGGCCCCCAGAAGATCATCGACGGGACGGCGTTGCTCACGATCAAGCTCCGGAGCATCGTCCCCGGACCCACGAGCTGCTCCTGCCCCACCAGATCGTCCAGAGTCTGCGGCCGCAGTCTCTCTGCCAGGGGGGTGAACTTTGCCTGCTTCTTCGGGGGGGTCACGAGGCCCTCGAGCGGCGCGAGCTTCGCCGGGGGGGGTTCCAACCGCTGGAGTTTTGCCGGCCGCCCCTCTGCTTCAGCCCCCCGCCGCGCCCAAAGGGACGCCTTTCCCCTATCGTCTGGGTCCGCCGAGGCCGCTCGTTTCGCAACTGGGGGGTTGAAGAACTGGTTGACTGTCGTCTGTTTCGTGGGCTCGAGGCCCCCCGCTTTTGTACCACCCGCACCGCGCTCTCCCAGGAGCCAGTCCGCCGCCTTCTCGGCGGAGCCCCCGCCGGTGGCTTGGAGCGCATCCTCTGCCGCTTTCACATCGAAGCCCATGTCGAGAAGCTGGGAGATGAGCAGCAGGTTGCGCGCCCGCCCCAGGATCTGCGCATTGCCGTCGGCGGCGGGGCCACCACCATTACCGATGACGGTCATAGACCCGGCAGCTTCGCCAATAAGCGGCCGCGGCTTATTCTGCTCAGAAGCGGGCGCCGCTTCCGAGCCACTGCCTGTGCCCTCCATTCCTTGATCGAATCATTTGCAGATGCGCGAACAAGGTAGATCTACTGACAAAGAGCACTTCATTTTACCACGGCTAGTTATTGACACTTTCCCCATTGGACAACGAGCGCCTATCCTTCAGAAACTAGAGAGTTAACCCGGTCTGCTAGTCTGCACACACCCTACGCCTGCTCAGATCGTCCGCCCCCTCAACTCCGCCAGCAGTGAATGCCCCTCCACCTGCAAAGCCGCCGTACCACCGCTCTCAAAACACGCGGCGGGCGCCTGCCACCCCTCCGCCCCCAGTACCGCCCCCTCCTCAAACCTCAAAATGTGGAACTCTGCCCCTGAGCCCAAAAACTGCCAGAAAACCGGTCGCCCCGTCTTCACATCCGCGTAGTACGTTATGAACTCCGCTTTCGTCCACACGTCGCACGCAAAGCCGTCCTTCTCGCGCCTGCCCACGTACTGCCCCCCGCTCAGCCAGTCCGGGCGCAGGATACCCACGTCAAAGTGGAGCATGCGGCAGCCCCCGCCCTGATCGGAGAAGAAGAAGCTCGTCCCGTTTGTCCACTCGATGTCATAAGTGGTGGATCCGAGCTGGCGGTGGATGATGTTAGCGTTGCGCCCCCCGGGGAAGTCGTACCACAGGTCGGTCAGCGCCAGGTGTCCGCTGCGGTTCTGGAGGCAGACCGCGTGGAACTGGTCGGGCCAGACCGGCGGAGGGGGCGCGGTGGCAAAGCTGAGGGTAATGAGAGAGAGGGCAAGGGCTAAGAGGGCGAGGATGAGCATCGTGCTGAGAAAGGGCGCCTTATTACATTGGAGGGAATCTTCGAAGCCTTGTCATTTTCTGCGACGTGCGCTTGCACACTGATGCATTGCAATTTGCAGGGGCATACCGGGCACGTTTGTGCACTTTGAAGCTCGGCGACCCGGACGGCGGCAGCGTACATGGTCGGTCGCCGCAAGGATGACTAATCAGAAAGCCTCTCAGCGACCATGTAATCAATGATTTGCGTGTTTGTGGTCGCCGAGAAGTGGCTGACCAGCGCCAACTTCGACTTTTGCCATGTGCAGCCACATCCATATCCATTCTAGGGTTTGTCGCCCTGCAGCTGCTATACAAGCTCGAGGGTTTAGGCTCAGCGTAACTAGAGCTAGCGACGCTTTCCTCCCCCTTTCTTCATTGCAACTTCATATTCCATGCAAGTAAGTATCTGCACAGCACTTGCTATTAGTGCTATCGTTGATCTTCCATGCCGTCTCCAATGTAAACGTGGGCTAGCTTCCGGCTGCCAGGCCATGAAGCTGCTATTTTGGGAGGTTGGGGAGGATCTTCTTACTGCCTGCTTGTTGCATTCTCAAAGTGCAAGGTAATGTTGATGTGGTCAAGATGGAGTGATCAAGCAGAGGGTTACTTAGCCTTCCTGGGTGTTGACAAGAATGGCGGCAGAAGCAGATTTGCTTGAAAAGTCAGGGGAGGATGACATGGGAGGTCCGCTTTTCAAAGAGCTGCGGGATGCGGGGATAATGGAACCAGACACTTGTGGCTTGCTGCTCAATATCCTCAAGGCAGTAGATTCAAAAGATCCAGAGAAGAGGCTGATCGCAACCTTTCAGTTGACTCAATGCCTTACTTACGTGCAAGCAACGAAACAGAGTCAAGTCTACATGAACATGGCGGTCTTGGCGCTTTCGAGGGGGGTGGTCAAGGGTCTCGCTTCCGGCATGAGAGAAGCTGCAGCAGGAGATTGGGCGATTGTTTTGCCTGAGAAGGATGTCAACTTGATTTTGATGGGGAGAGCGAAAGTCATCGTCAACAAAGCTTCGAATTATACCAAGTGCCTAACTTTTCTGGCCGTAGATTCCCGCTGCGTAGCGCACATTCTGAGAGAGTTCCCGGATGTGGCAAAGATAGCCACAGCAATTTTTCTTGTCAGACCAGACAGACTGGGGAATCACACCAGCCAATTCCAGAAGCAAGCAAGGAGGGCGATCATAAGGTTACTCAACAGCATGATGCCGACCTCTCCCAGCTGCATGAAGAAAGTTGCAGAAGACACTGCTTTCTTGAAGGAAGTTGTGAAGCATGCGCGGAGCATGGAGAAACCTTTGAGCGAGATGATGCCGATGAATGCGCCGCTTCTTCGACAATCATAATCAATGCTTTACGAAGTGAAGCAGCTGACATGCAGGCTTTGAGAAGTGATCTGTACAAGGTTGCAGAAGACATACTGGGCGAATCTATGAGCAGTGATCATGTCGACCTGGGAATCAAGCTCCTCTCTTTGACGTTGGAAAAAGATTGCTCGGAAACTTTGCCTTCAGAGTACCCGTCTCTTGGTTCATCCCTGCTTGCCTTGCTCTTTGCGGTCAACATTCCCAAAGAGACTCAGTTCTATGCTCACTTTGCGGAGAAGCGATTCTGGAGCCTCGATCTGCGGAGTCTTCCCAAGACTGCAGAGTATGAGGTCCTCTTCAACCTTTTCAAAGCTGACAAGAAAGCACTGAGCAGGGCAGTTCAAGTGAGCAAGATGTTCTCAAAACCGTCAAACGATTTGTTCAACATAGGGTGCGTCGAAACCCCAAAAGTGAGACGAAGGAGAGAGCAAGCTGGGGTCCTTGGTCTGGGGCCTCCGCCGGAACGGTTGCTGCCACTCCTGCGGTGTCGGAAATGCTCACAACCTGGTTGTGAGAAGGTCGAAAGTGTGGCTGGCACGTTCCAGGTTTGTGGGAGGTGCAAGACTGCTGTCTACTGTAGCAAAGGTAAGGGAACTTCCATCTTGGATACTCCAATCAGGATCGTGAAACTTGCCTTGATTGCTCATGTCCCAATTGCTTTTCAACCAAAGGTTCGTGCACCATGACGATGCCCTTGTTTTGTTTGTTGAATCGATCAGAGTTGACATGCTTCAAATCTGCATTCATCCGAGTTCTGGACTAGAAGATTCGATTCTGGCTGGAGATGCTCTATCCGTGAATGAAGGCCTAGAAGGATGTTCTGTCGTAGAACAATCGAAGCACGACTTGTTTTCGTAGATTAACCTGTCCGGCCCTGGTGACAGCCTGGAGCATTCAAGATCTGGTACGAAGGGCTACCACTGTATCAGCGCTTGATTCAGAAGGCAGGAGACTTCGCATTCTGATATCAGGAGAATAAGCAACCGAGTAGAAACGGGTCCCACGTGAATGGGCTAGGACTTGTTTCGCTCAGGGGTCACACTGACCATAAGCATACTGTATATTCCAGTCACAAACGAAGCATGTCACCCTGTCTTATCGTTTCTGAGACTTGCTCTTCGCTGGACCTACAGATTGTCAGAAGCGGGCATGGAAAGAAGGGCATAAGGACTTGTGCCACTGATTGTGGCGGCTGCTGATTCTCAGGTGAGCCTCGATTTTGCTGATGATTGCACTTTCGTTCTGATCTTATCCGTAGGGCCAAGCTTTAGATAAGCCTCTGCTGTCATCTGGTCGCCACCCGCCTTGACTGAAGTCGATCTCGCTTCTTGCTGGATTGCTCCAGCCTATGCCAGGTTGGTCTTCAAAGTAAAGTGAATCATTCTGGAAGGATCTGTTCGGGGGTAACGAATTGTGCAATTCATATCACTACTAGTTCCTCTTACTCATCCACAGTGTTGCCACAGATCCTGCGCGCACTGCTCAATGCGAACTCTTCATGGGATGCATATCCGCTGGACGACACCTATTGTTCTTATCCTCCTGTTTGTGCAGGACTTGGCAATACGTCCGACGAAGAGAAGTTCTTCATCGGGCCGGCAATATGTAGCCTTGAAGCTCCAAGCCGCGGATGTTCTGTCAAGTACGTAGTGCTAAGACCCCTTCAATCATGCACAAAGTGATGCATACCAGCTCTCCAAACGTACCCTGAACTTGATTCCTAAAATGAAATTCGCGCTTCCACTGTCTTTCTCTCATTCTCTTTTGTAAAGTTAGATATATTGACTCTCAGCTTCACAGCGTGGTTCGGCTGTTAAGATGTAAATGTTGAATTAAGCAATCTGCATGTCTCAGTGATTCGAGCTCAGCGCTTGCATGGCGGCCACATATACAGAACAAGAGCGTGCCGGTCAATCATCACAAGCTACCTATGGTGGGTACCGGCCGAGTCGATTCCGACTCCGGCCGCCACAAAATCGATTTAGCGCGTATCGAATATCGTCAGTGTTACCGGCGGTTCGCGTCACGGCTACTCAGGTTTATGTTACTCGGGCGGTACAAATACTCAGAGAATTTTGCCGGGCCGTAAGTAAGTGTGAGGAGATTCTTAAACAGTGTCAGGTTTTACACTTTGAGAGGAGCATCAAATTGGCACGCAAAGAAGAGCCATATGCAGGCTTATAAAAACCTCTGACAAGCAGAAAAAAATGTTGGGAGAGCGTCATGAAGGCTCCTTCGAAGCTCCAACATCTTGTTATGTTGAGGACAAATCGGAAGAAGCACCATCGTGGCTGCAAATTGGCCGCCATTGCTTGCTTCTAAAAAGCGCCATTCCCTACACTCCCGTTTCCATCTTCTGCACTCTCCTTTCAAGTTAGGTACCGCGGTACTCTAGGGTGGTTCGAGTCGGAACTTCCGATCGAAACCATGATTTTCAAATTTCACGTACGGTCAGACTTGATCGGTACCGTACCGCCGGAAACTCCGGAAGTTTCTGACGATCGGAATGTCAGACAGATTCTAATTTATGAACTCGGACCGGATTCTCAAGTACCGGTCTGCACGGTCGTCAGTACCGCGTACAGTAATTGTCGCGACGCGACACACCGGTGATTCAAATTTGTGACCGGATCGTCGCGCGATCGAGACCGCCGATACCCACCATAGGTTGCTTGTGATAGAAGAATCTCGCGTGCCCTGGCACTTCGATCGGGCCGGACAGTGCAGTGGACTTTGCGCTGTCTCCACGGTCGGACACAGCTACGCGTTCGTACGGTACTAAAGTATGCATGAACTAGTAGTAGCTTACATGTTCATATACACCGTGTATGAACATGCATGGCCACGCACCGATCATGATTGAGCTGGATTGTCGATCATATGCACTAATCACGTTGTGAGTCAGCTAGTGGCTACTATCACGGAGGCCCACACACATGTTAAAATCCGCTTTGTGCCGGTGCTCACTGACCCATAAAGTAGCCTAGTCTCAGCTGCACGGTTACATACAAGCCTGAGAGTCCGTTGCATTAAGGATCAAGCGGGTTCGTGGATGAAGAATTGATTGTGGTATGTATCCACGGGGCAATGACCGACTATTGCTTTGGATGAGCTGAAAGAGCCTTTTGTCATGGTTCATTTCGAGGCTATCCGCCAGTTTTGGGGGGGTAGATCGACCAGAGAGCGATGGCTGCGTCTCTGCTTGCGGATGCCAGCAACTGGCCACCCGGGGAGAAGGCGACCGACGTAACCTGGCAGAGAAAAGCTGTGTCGTTTTGAGGAGCAGAACCGCAATGATCTTACAGCTCTGCATGATCCCAACAGCTTTTGCTAACAATGAAGGTGACGAGACACTGGGCCTTGCACTGCATGTCAAATGCAGGGTATTCAACGTTGTGCACATCAAAACTTCGTTGGAACAAAGCCACGAAACAATGGACGGCCACTAAACCCCTAGGTAGGGCCCAGTAAACGCTCGTGAGGCGCATCGAACAAACAAACAAAACAACCACTACCATTCACCTTTCTCCAGCGAGCCTCCTTTTCTTTGCACCAAAACCAGTCGCAAAGGGTGCAGGGTGCCTGTGCGATCCAGGTCGAATGCAAGTCGCTCACAGAATTCGAACGGCATTTACTGAAGCTTTGAGAAGCCCAGCAGTGTAAGCTCACCGCTGCTGAGTGGTAGCGAAGCACCCCGAGGGGAGTGCGACGCTTGCAGTCGAAGATGCGAACCCTGCGAAGCACGTCACAGGTGGGCCGACGTCATTTGTTGTTGAAACGAAAGTAAACATCCACTCCGCCGTAAAGCAGCTCCAATGTCGGAAACTGATTTTAACAACGGCTCGAACGGTCGAAGCGAACGCTGTCGAGAATTGAGATACTCAAAAGGCCCGCAAAGGAGATCAAACAGCTACTCTGAAGTAGTAGAAAGAGGAGTCAGCAGAAAGGACAGTCTCTCGATGGCAGTAAACAATTAGACAGCCCCTTTCTGAGGCCGGAACTGATCTGCGCACAACGTGAGTTCGGACTCAAAAAATGACCGGACGAATAGTAGCACTTTACGAACTCAATTGTTTAACCAAAAGCGAGGCGACGGTCGAGGTACCTGTGGTCCCAGCCGGCGGTGGCGACGATCCGCTGGTCCTCTCTGAGTGCGATGTCGCCGATGCCGGGCCGCCCTAGGGGAAGTTCCTTGGCCACACAGCCCCGGCCCTGAAACAGAAGCCCTTTCGTTGAGGAAAGCTCCATATTACTTGGCATGCGATGTATGCAATCAGAACGCTGAAGCAAACACTTTCGAGGGTCAAAACTTCGCAATAAAGTCTCGGGCCAGTCGCGCCTACTAGTTTTCAGGATAGCAGGTATCGCTTGAGGAAAAGGCTTCTGCTGAAATCAGGTTTGCGCAAGCTGACGGAACGGTTCGTCTTCCTGGTGGGAAGAGCCGCGACGCCACCACAGATCATGGGGCGTGTAAGCAAACGGGCGCATGTAAGCAAACGGGCGCATGTAAGCCTTACATACGGACTAGCATAACATGCGCTGCCAAATCAGCAAGCGCGCTTTCTCAAAGCACTAAAACCGCCTTCAAAAGTGCAGAAACGTTTTTCGCGCATGCATCGCATTTGTGAGCAGCTTCGAACACACCGAATCCACGTTCGAGCGGCTGCCGTATTTCCAACCTTAAGTGCCTGATCATTTGAAATTTGAGAAGCAACTGGCAACTTATCAAAAGCTACAGAAGCGGTACACCCCGCATGAACAACCCGGCTTTGATGGAGCCCTTTCTATCGGGCACTCAATGGCGGCTCCTTTCATTCTGTAGCAGATTCTTGCTCTCATACCTCGGCATACCGTAGGTTGAAGAAGACGACTTTGTCATCAGCGGACCCCGAGATGCCGCCACAGCCCGTTCGGTCCACCGCCAGGCTCAGCACTGCTCGCAAACGAGAGAAGGGAGAAGTTTCGGCTCCCACAACGTTGGGACTGACGACAGTTCCGACCCAAAAGCTACAAGGTAAATAAAGGCCACAAATTTGGTGCATGGTCTGATAAGTTCGTTGTCGACTATTCTCTCGCGGCGCTGGCAAAATCAGTAAGGTATGATTCGCCTCATCAAGCTTAGTAAGACCGGTGCGGACCGATTCAGACGCATTCGATGTTGGACAGGGAGCCTTCGTGTTCTGTACCATGGACTTCAAATTACACAGTGTCTCCCGAATCCATTCAAAACCCTCTCCTTCCAACCAAAAATGCGTCTACGTCATCATCTCGCGATTCGACAAAACAAGCAAGATGCAGTCAAAGAGACTCCGAAAGTTTTCAAATGACCATAAGTGCGTACAGTATCAGAAAAGCACTACTAAGCCAGAAATATCAAAATCTAGGCCTACCAGTTCTCAGTACTGTAATCTGATGATGGGACAGACAAATAAGGCGTACAGAACCCGTACCTGGCTCTGAGTGCAAGCGCTGCCGGATGCAGGGCACGGCGGGTGAGCGAAGGTCCCACGCCATCACGGTTCCGTCTTCGTACCTACACATGAGAAGCTTCAGGGTTAGGTTAAGCACCACCTTTAAGAGCTAAAAACAAAGCAAAGGTCGAGGAGAAGGTTCTTTGAGAGCGGACTGAGAACGGTAATCATCGCCACCTCGGCAAGCTGCCCTTACGGACCTCCTCGCAAAAGCGAGAGGACACACTGGGAAAAGTTAGTCCTTCGCACGTCAAGCAGGAAGAGACCTGCTTGAAACCTGAGGTCGCAACAGGCGCTGAGCAGCATTGCCGGTTGCGATCCAACCCCAACTTAATTGCAAAGCCTTTCTGGCCTCAACCTTAACCCGAAACTTCTGCGAGGGGCTTCGGAACAGAGCGATACAGGCACTCTCACACTTCTGCACGTCTCGTCCCACCCCGTCATGCTGTGGGCGGGCTCAAGAAGAAGCCGACAGGCAGCGCCGTCCCGAGGCGTCACGAAGCCACAGTCAGATGCATGGCCAAAGTATTTAAGAATTTTTTTCAGGCGACCGATCAGGGCTGTACGGAAGATTTTTGGCAATGAGCTCACCCACCGACGGCTACTGGGGAGGGCGCCGACTCGGGTTGGAGCAGGAGTTGGACGGACATGCACATACCTGCGAAGGAGAATCAACCGACTTAGGTGGTTTTGACCGGGGCTGATGGAGTCGGCCGTGGTGTCTAAAAGTACGGCGCTCTATCGGGATTTGCTTTGAACCTGATGCTGGTCAATCGTGCGCGCACTTCCCATCGAATTGTCCAGATTGAATGGACTAAGCGTGGGCCTTCGGTTGTGTTCGGAAAAAGGTATTTCACCGAGTTGCATTTGAAGCAATCTCCGGTTACGTCCGCAGTCAAACAAACGGCCACGTTGAGTTCCATCGACAGGCTCGAAGCTTGCGGGGACCCTGGGTGATCCTTAAGAAGAGTTTTCGTGACTACATTCCGCGTGCCTCTTGCAAATGAAGCTCGGTTAATTGGAAGAGGCTGGTGGTCGGAAGAGACGCCAGCGCAACAATTGACCCTCGTTTTCAGCGCCAACTGAAGTTCGATCAATTGCTCGGAAACGCGGAATGCACGCGATTCTGAAGGGCCGCCTCTTCAGGTTCGAGTCGGCTTGAGATCTCCCACTTTTATTGTCGACGCCGGCCCAGACGCACTTGCATTGGAGTGAATGCTTCTTGATAAGAACACGCACTTCTTGTACGCTGACTCTCAGAACAGCCGAGGACGTTCGACAAGGGGGTGAGTCGGACGATCGTACCGGCAGAGGGCGTGTCCGTTTGAAGACCTCCCGCAGGGCCCTCACTCCTGGGCTGCTCGAGTCGTTGCTCCTGGTGGCCAGTGCGAAGGTCCCAGATCTCGATCTGTGACAACAGGTAACTCTGCGGTCAGCCTCGACGGTCACAGCAAGCGTTAGTTCAAGCTGCACCGTCTTCCAATGTCGCCCTTAAGAACCGGAGAGCATGATCGAGGTTACTGGTTCAAAGCGGACCGTGTCTATTTGCGCTTACTCTTCATGTTTGAGGACTGAAGCTCGACAGGAGTATATAGCAGGAGCTCCTCCATACCTAAATCTGACCGTTCACAAGCTCGAGAATGGATCGACGCTTTTCCAGACACAAAGAAAGCACCAGCAAGTGGCCGCAACACAGAAGGCACGCGGATTGTCCGTACCGTTGACGGGTCCCCTCCCGCGACGGCCACTAGCTGCTGCGCCGCATCGGCCGCCACCGGATAGGCACCTGCATAAACGAACGCGGATTCGAAGCACGTCTCTAAGCGACCTGGGCAGAAAACATTTCTAGATCTTCCGCAAGGCTGGCAAAAGTGATAAGCTCTGACGATGAGTCCTGGGCAAGAAGTCAGCTGTGGTTGCGAGAACGCCTGACAATCTGTGCACCGGACTCCGTGAGGAGGAGCCTAGCATGTTGCCAGGCCAGAAGAAGCTGCTCCTCTTTTGTACCTGTCTCTAGAGCCCGCTCGCCGGTTCCCTCTTCCGTACTCCGAGCACCTGCCGCCGTGCTTCCCTGGCCGTCCGATTGCAGCCCTGCGGCGAGCCCCGAGCTCTGGCCTCCCATCGCTGCAGAAAGCCCTCTCCTCTCGTGGGGGATCCCTCTGCTCGCTTCCCCTAAAGAATCCCGCGAATTACCACCACCCCCTTCTGCTTCATCTTCCCCTAGGGCATCATTGTCTCCTCTCAGCTGGCTTTCGTCTGTAGCGCTCTGTTTGCTCTCAAAGCTTTCCAGTTTCTGCAGCCGGCCCGCGTCCGATTCACAACCTAACCCCCTCCCACTTGTCCCTGCTGCCTCTCGACTCTCCATAGATCTCTGCACATCCCTTGAGGGTTCCGCCTCAGAGGGCTGTAACGGACTCTCGGGAAAACGTGCTTCAATTGGTGACGGGAGGTGTTGAGCTTCGGCCAGGGAGAGCTTGCAGAAGTTGTAGGAGCCAGTCTCGATTACCAGCAGGGGTTGCCTGCGCCAGCAAGGGGCGTCAGATTTTGGACAGGGGGAGTGCCTCCAGCAAGCCTGGATCAAAACTCGACCAGTCCAAGCCGAAGGTATAGAGGCTCAATCGAGTGGCACATGACAGCAAGAGAAAATCCTGCAAGAGTCATCAGATGTTGGTTGAGAGACATTCCTAATTGCTACTGGCACTCAAGAAAAGCCTTATGAATGCCAAAAGTGCGTTCTGGTGAAAGGCCCACCTTGCAAGGGCAGCCTCCGAGACAGCCCATACTTTCACGACGCCGTCGCGGCCTTGACTGCGGAGACGACATTAAAGAGCATTCAATCTAAAGAATCCTCGTGTCTTGAGAAAAGTCGAAAGACAAACATTACTGGTGTTTGGTTGGGGTGCCTTTGGATTCTCTCAGTTCCGGAGCAGCTTGAGGCCACAGGTTGAATAAAACTTACCAAGCATGCGGCCATCTTCTGACAACATTCCTTGGGGCGATAGATTGTTTGTCGCACCTACCTGACAAACTTGGAGGGGTTGAGCCTGCTTGCAGCTAACCCGATGACACCAGCGCTGGCTGTGTGGGCCCTGTAGAGAGGAGATTCTTGTCCTGCTCGTTTTTTAGAGAGTCTGATTAAGAGAGTGGTTTCTACCAGGGCATTCCCAAGTCTTCTGAAGAGGAAGAGACTCACTCAAGAGTTGGAAACGAAGCCCCAAGGCCCATGTGTAGCTCAGGCAGCAAATCTTGACATGCCAGACTTTTGTACTGCTAGAGTTGCTATCAAGCTGCTGTTCAGTGGTCTCCTGCATGACTCTCAGAGTAGATATCCTCCCGCTTGGCAAGTCCTGTCACAGCAGCAGGTTCAAAGAAATCATGGTCCATGAACTCGTCATGAGCAGAACATCCTTGCCTTCAACACACCCATCGTGCTGTCCTTGAAAGGCGTCAGAGGAGGATTTGGGGTAGCGGACTCATTCACTCCAAGCCCTCAATAGGAATGACCTTTCAGGAACCGGGGCTCACCTGACAGATGACACGGCTCTGCGCACGCCCAGGTCCCACACTTTCACTTCCCCATCAGCATCTCTGCAGCATCGTCAGGGAAGAGGAGCCTCAGTGATCAGGACGGACATACAAAGAACGAAAAGGGGGGGGCCACTCTGGGAAAAGGGCATATATCAGAACGAAGATTGATGAATGGCTGTTCCACAGTGCTTGCTACGGAAGGACATCCACCACATGTTTTGAGTAAAATGTCCAGCTGCGCGCCCAATTGAACTGTGGTGGTGGTGCATGAGGAGAACGTCAAAGCTGACGACCGATGCACTGATCATTGTGTCCAAAATGGTGTTGCTCATAATGTGGTCGCACCCCTTTACGCAGGTGTGTTGCATTCGTACCCTGAGAGCAGAAGGTTCGACTGAGCAGCAAATGCCACAGCCGTGACGTCTGTGCGGTGGCCCCGCAGAACATGGACTGGATCAGGAGCTCGGGGGGTTCGTTGACCGCTTGTGACCGCCATCTACTTCATTCATGAACAGGAACCAGGACTCGTGAAAGAAAGAAAGGCAGCTTAAATTGGGCTTACAAGTGAGCGCATTGCCGCAACACTGCTGCCATTTGAAGTTGTGTGCACTGTCAGTGTAGGGCGGGTCGAACTTAATTCCCGGGTTCCGGTCCTACCCCCTTTTGGGTGGGTCGGTCGGTCGGGAAAAATTAATAGTTGGTTTTTTGCTAGTAGGTTTAAAATATGAAATAATATGGGGTATTTTTGGGGGGAAAACCTCGTTTCTTGGCCCAGATCTTATAGACTCTCAATATTTTCAACCCAAAATCGGAAAATCTGGGACAAAATATCCACTATATTTATTATTTTTTTCCAAAGTCCTTCGGATTTTGGGTCGGTCCCGGACCGGAAACCGGGATTTAACTTCGAGTCGCCTAACTTTAACTTTAAGCTTGATGGCGTAGAAAGGCGTCTTGAAAAGTTCCTCTTCGCTAGCCGGCGCAGATAAGTCTGATAACCCGAAGTCACCACTTGAATGTAAGGCTGTGGGGTCAAATTTTAGAGCTTTGGGGTTTTATTAATCTTGCTTGGGTTCAAGGGTTTCCTTGCTTGGCCACATTGACTGAGAAGCTGGGCAGACGTCCTGCGCAGGCTGCAGCATTGCTTATTGCAGCTGATTTACTATTATAGTAGGAGAGAGGGGCGGGTAAGAGACCTGTGCGAGGCCTTTCAGAGACGCAATGGCGGCGCCAATGCAGAATGGTGCTGGCGAAGCAGCAGGCAATGCTGAAGCACCTATGTTTGTCGGCATGAATGAGCCGCTGGAGAGTGTCTTTGCGCGGTTGTTGGAGCACTTGGAGCGGAGTGGGCCGCTCAGTGGACGGCGAAGCCATTGGATCGATCTGCTGAGACAGGACATGCCCAGCTTGGATCGAAAGCAGAAGATTAAGACTACTTTCAAACTGGACGAGTTCCGGGAAGAGTTGGAGTCAGCATCCTCACAGGACGTCCGCCTCTTGGCAGACTCAGGATTCTTCAAGGTTCTCTGCGCGTGTCTCCGGGATGCCGATGCAGAGACTTTGGCATGTGCGACAGAGTGCCTCGGGCACTGCATTAGGATTGTCCCTGAACTAATTGAGAAGGCCTGGGCATGGGGTGCTTTGAGGCCCGTAGCCACACTTATTTTGAAAGACTGGGAGGTGGCGGACGAGCAGGCTCTTTATTATGACTTGCCCCTTCAGCACTCCCTTTACTTTCTGGCGACCCTAGGAGGGCCCTGCAACTACGAACAGTTGCGGTGCTCGGAGGAAATATGCGAGATCAGTAGGAAGTGCCTGAATTGGTTGAATAAACAGGGCGTGCAAAGGAGAGCTGCTGAGATGCTGGTGGCGCTGTCCAAAGCAAAGGCAGAGAGCAAGGACGGAGATGACTACCTCCCCTTTGTTTTCAACGCCACCTTAGTTCTCATGTTTGGTTCACATCCTTCGCTCCACTCAAAGGGGCGGCCTGGTGCCAGGCTGGAAAGTCAGGAGGGTAAGCAGGCTGCGTGATTCCCAGCAGAAACTCTGAGGAGAGACCTTCTCAGAAAACTGACCTCAGTGTTACATCCGTCAATTTTCCAAACTCTGTATTTCCGTCAATCTTGCTAAACTTAGTGAATACATTCCTCGGAGTCATGACCTTGGAAGCTGTGAGCGTGAGTCGAGGCTGGGGCTTTGCATAATGACAACATATTGCTTCTCCCTACCATGTGAAGTTGCATTTCTTTTCAATCAGTGCATCTCATATTTTCTTGGGCAACGTACTGCTTGCTTCAGAGCCAGCAACATACCACAAGTCTATGGATGCAACAGGATGTCACAAACTGACTCCACGAACTTATTGCAATTGTTCCTTGTCCCTCAGGGCTGGGGGCCGCCGTGCTGCATTTCATTCAACTGTCCGGGAATCCAGAGTTTATGGAGCGCCCAGAGCCCCGCGGGATCGTAGAGAACAGCACCAAGCTCCTCCTCCTGCTTTGGTTGCCCTAGTGAGTGCTCAGAGGTTTTCTCGTCAATACCCACTAGTGTTGGTTCCTTCAAGTCGTCTTGTTTACTCTTCCGGATGAGCAATACCAATTCAAAAGATTCTTTACATTCTTAAGAGTCAACAACAGCACCAGTGGGCCCTCTGGCGTTTGGAAACGTGTCGTTTTCCACATGTTTAGCAACCTGAATTCATCATGTAATAGATGGGGGAATTCTTATCAGCTTTCGAGGCTTCTTTCCAAGCAAAGTATTCTTCTTTCAACACCCTGGTTTTAAGCAGCTTACAATGAGTTTGTCAGGCTACTCCGATCTCAATAAGTCTCTCACCTGGGGCTGAATCTGACTTGGAAACCATGCAGCAGCCACTTAGTTGCCTGGAAGAAGCCCTTGCCAGTGGCTTATTGTCGAATCTCGGTGTATCTTCTTTTCAATTACCTGCAGCTCGAGCGCCACCGACTCAGATGCTCTCAGGACGCGGAAGAAAGAGATTGCTGAGCACCCCGACATTCTCAAGGTCGCCCAAATCCTGAAGGAAGAGGCGGAGTCACAAAGCCATCCCGTGAAGGAAGTGAGCTGCTTTTACTGATCGAGAATTTCCTTTCTGAAACTCCCATGTTGAACTGTTTTCCTTCCGTACCTAGATAAAACTTGCAACAGATGGTCAGGGTTGTTGAACGCTAGAAGATACCGATGCGGCTTGTCTAGGTGAGAAAGGAACGGTGTCAACGATCCAGGTGTTTTCGTCCTCCAACATAATAGTCCTGTGCAAGATCATCCGCTGTCTGAGCCGAAGTTGTACGTCGTTTGGAACACTTTGGAGACACTTCACCGGTTGCAATTGACCAACAAATCAGCTTGCCTCAATAAAGAACCGTTCAAGTCTGATGAACGGAAGACCGCCAAGATTTGAATGTCCAAACAAGTTCAGGTCCAATTTCCCACCTTTTGCCGAAGTGTTCGTGAAGTACTGTTGACATCAAGCCGCTCTTGAGTCCTTCAGGACGTCACCGTCACCCTGGCTAAAGAGGCTGGTAGACTTCGACACAATTTTCTTGTGCTCAGAAGTCAGGGACCGATCTCTGATCCCCATTCTCTGCCACACTTGCAGTCCACAAAGGCCTGCTTCGCGGCCCTCGTCTGCCTCCTCACCTTCGAGCACCCGCGGCCCCTTCCGCGCGCGACCCTCGAGAGCGCTCTGCGCATTCTGTGCAATGCTGACGTCAGCGCGGACTGGCTGAGCTGGGACCGATGGAACGTCGTCCTGAACCGCCGGTTCCACGACAACACCGTCTCGCCAACGTTCCTCCTGACCCACTTCTTCCCTGCTTTCCTCACCGCGTTCGCCGTCGAGGCCAACCGCTGCAAACCCGCCCGCATTTACGGCCCCGGTTTGCGGAAGCTCTTCGGCATGGTCGTGTTCCTATCCGGCTGCCTCTGGTTCTCCTACTGCCCGTTGCCGATGTCGTGGGGGACGCCGACCGGCAAGGAGGCAATCGTGATTCCCAAGGAACTGCTCCCCCGGTTGGTGGACCTCATGATCGAAACTAGAGCGGCCGCTGCGATGGCGTCCCTCACCGGCTTCGCGATGTATCGGACGGCGGGGGAGGCGTGCGTGGGGCTGGCTCAAACGGCGGTACAGATGTCGCTCGCCACTTTGAGGCGCTTGAACGAGCAAATGATCCCGGCGCTGTTCCACGTCTCGCTGGACGTCTCCCGGGACGACGAGATCATGTGCCTCGCTCGGATGGGCCGTCCGTCGTCCTGTACGGACGAGCTCGTGTCCGGCATGCCGGTATTTAAGGTCGAGGTTCTTGGTGCGGACAGCCACGAAGCAGACACCGTAAGGTATGTTTGGGCGCGGAACGTGGTCGAGATCAGTGCCGATGTGAAGCGTCGAAAAGCAAAGGTTCTCAGCCAGCTAGCGGTTGACATGCGTAGGATAGAGGACGTGCCACTCGTGTGGGAGCTTGACAAAGATGAGCAGCGGAGATTAGCAATGTTCAATAAGGATCGTCGGGGAGTGTTAAGTAGGCTACACGCGCGACCGCAAGCCGTTGACCCAAGTCATGGAACTGGGCACGGCAAAGATTCAAGGTGTGCCTCCTGCAGACTTGTCTTGACCAAAGCTAATTTAAAACGCTGTTCAAGGTGCCGTGCCACTACTTACTGTAGCGTTGCGTGCCAAAAGAAGGACTGGTCTGAACATAAGAACACTTGCAAAAAGACGTGACTTCGACCGGTGACTAACTAAATCACATCCGGATATTCAGGTAAGCTCACTTTGGCAGATTCAAATCTCGATGAGCGTTTCGACCATGCATTCATGTGTGGATACTATATAAGATCCGGAAGGGGGTCCGTATCTGAATCACTGACTCACCCGACCCGACTATAGCTACTAGCTTAAACTGCATGAGCTTGGATATATATCATTTAGACTGGGACTTACAGCATGCCCGGCATGATCGATAGTTCCTGACCGACCGGCTGCATCACACGTGCAAACATGACATGATGCATTATTTTGGTTGGACTAAATTAATTTCACATATATATGCGCGGCCGAGATTGGCTGAGATTATGTTCTCCAAATTTGAGAACTTTGATGCATATGGCTTTACTTCTAGTGTGGCGAAAATTGCGCCATGCAGTCACGATGCGCTGCATGTCCACTTATTGTGGGCGGGCCGGAAAGCTCAGTACGGAAGCCGCATGTAAATTCAGCGCATACAACATCAGCATGAATGCACATCTCAGTGACTGCAGTACTAAAGGAGAGACGAATGTGAAGGACAAAGAGACGCGGCCACAGCTTGGCACCTGAGAGAGTGTCTTATACGTACACAATCTTACCTTTGCTCGGCGACTCAGTTGGACAGTTAACATGTACAGGCTCGCAAAGACCTTGATCTCAAACTTTCGTCACTCACTTGCAACCATCGCTGCCTACTTGTTGCGCTACCTATCTTGGAGCGGCCCTTACCTTACCAGCCTACAAGCAGCATCTTCAGAAGGGCCATCCGGATGAACAGACCGTTTTTTGCCTGCCTGAAGTACGCTGCTCTTGGGTCAGAGTCCACTTCGACGGTGATCTGTAAACAGCAAAGGAGTTAGTTGTTGACACGTTACGCCCCGTCAGATGCGAAAGGTTGGGGGGGGCTGAGGAGTCGAAGCTTGGCATCAACCGTGTAGGTGACTGAAACTTCCGACGCGCACGAAAAGCTGATCTTTTACTATAACGAGAGGCTTCATCGAACCTGAAGGGTGAGAGCAATCGCCTTTCAGAGGGGAACGCGTTTCGTTTCAAATCACCAGTTCCCCACGTGAGAGAAATTTGTCAATGCACCCGGCACGCGCCTTGCCTACTGCGGGCGAAGCTGAGCAAGCGCCTCATCAGTCTCTCACTTTCAGACAAACTCCTGCCAAGCACTCGATCCCAGAACGAATTCGATCCCAGCAGGAATCTTCCCCCCGCCCTCAAAACCAAACGCCTCCTCACCTCGTCCAGTCGCGGCAGCGGGTGCAGCACGACCGCGTCCTTCTTCATACAATCCATGATCTTCCGGTTGACAATGTACCTGCCCCGCGCGCGCGCATAGTCCTCCACGCGGTCCCCAAAGCGCTCGCGCTGGATGCGCGTCTGGTAGACGACGTCGCACGCGGCGGCCACCTCCTGCAGGTCGTCGCTCTCCTCCCAGTCGACGCCGCTCTGGGTCAAGTGCTCCTTGATGTCGTCCTGCAGCGTAACGTCCACACTGTTCTCACCCTTGAGCGTTACGCCAGATGCAGAGGGTTTTCTGCTTGTGGGGCAGTTTGATCCGAGGAAGTTCTAGCCGGTCAAATCTTTCTCGTTACTGACATCCGCGACGTCAGACTCAGAGGTTTTTCAAAATGCGAAGCAAACTGTTCCAAACCTTTTGACTGGTGACAACTGGTTCTCGATGCCAACAAGCAGTGACATCACACTTTTCTCGAACGTGAGGATACGAAGCCGCAGAGAATGCATGGGCTTCCTGCTTGTACTTTTTGCGAAGCGCTCTGATTAGATAGTGACCCCATTGAGATAGCCCCGAGTCAAGGCCTATCAGGTGTGGGCGCCGTTCTAATCAGGGGCTCTCTAAATCATCACGTTGAAGCTCACTTTGGAACTTCAGGCTAAGAGCTCACTCTGAGCATCGGATCAAGAGCCCACACTAAACAGCAGATCTTTGCGGTCGTCATCAAAGCTGCAGCTGAAAATAGTTGACCGGATACTGAGTCAAGGTATCTTTCGAATCCGTATTGTCTTTGCATGCTCGCCGAAAGCTACGAACCTAAACCCAGGATTCGAGCACTTCGAAAATATCAAGAAAGTTACCAACTTCCAACTCGTCCTTCCTAGCGGCTAGAAGCCGATCGAACTCGTCTGCTTCACAAACATCCAGCTCATTACTCAAAGTGCTCAATACCGACGTTTTGAATTTCTGAGACACGCCCCTCCAATCAATTTGCAAATTAGACTCCTGATAGTTCGGATCTGGCGGCAAAAGGGACGCACAAATCCCTGAACTTGCGCATGCCCTGGCAATAGCAAGGCGGACCCTTTGACGACCATATTGCTCACCCCCATCTTGACGACGTCGGGCGCCACCAAGTAAATCTTGATGTTGTCAAACTTGCTGAGCATGTAAGCCAGCGAGCGCGCCGTCCGTCCGTTGGCCAGATCTCCCACCAGCCCCACCTTGATATTGTCTAGCCGGCCTAGCTCCCGTTGGATGGTGTACGTGTCAAGGAGCGCCTGGAAAGAAAGGTTCTGACAAAACTTTGAGGCCTTAAGATGAGGTGCGAAGTACGACTCACTTGAAGAACGATTTTCGAAAAATGGCAAGATCTTTGCTGATTACTCTTCTGCGACGAACTTGTCTCTTCGACTTTGTTTGCGAAGTCGAAGCTCAAGAAAACGGAAATCAGGAAAAATTGTGCTAACTGGGCGAGAGAATATTGTGCACAGGGAACTTCGGCTATCAAATCTCTTGGGACTCTGAGAGACAACCTAGGAAAAAAATCAAAAGAAGGTTCAAGTAAAGAGGTCAACGAAACTCATTGCAGGATTGTTGATAAACAGGTTCTTAACCAGAAAATGAGCTCTTTCCAGGGGCGACTTCCACCTGTCCAACTTCCAGGACGGGGTTCTTCCCGCTGCCTTCGTGGTCGGCCTCCTCGTTGCGTCGCCCATCTTTGCTCAGCTCTCCAAAACGTAAGCATTTGTCATTTCAAGCTCTGTCACCGTTCAGTCCCACTTCGTTTACCTTTTTCCCTCTGTCTCCGTCTCTGATGTTAACACCCCCGATTCTTTCAGCAGTTTCTCGGCGTTCCTAAGAGTAGCCTGCATTGTTCTGCTCCTTCATTACTCTTCCTTTTTATTCAATTCTGTGCACCAGCTTTCTAGGACGTACCATCACTAATTAAGTAAAAGCGTGAGGATATACTGCATCAAGTTCATTCACTTCTCTGGTCAGTTCCCAATCAGTTCTCTGCCAATTGTTCTTGCTCTGTTCCCTTCAGAAGTTCGCGCAAGGATGCCTGCAAACGCACCAAGGGGGCTGTTTCCATGAACAAGTGTTTTTCCTGGTGGGAAAGCCTTACCTGCGTGGGATGCTGCCCCGGCCCATCTCCAGCATTGATGACAGGGATCTGTGCCACCGACGCGGCCTTCTTCGCCGCCCCGCTCTCAAAGTGCCTCAGAACAACGATATCAGAGTAACCCTCCACAGTGCGGATGGTATCTGAAAACAGGAAGCTAAACAAGCTATTTAATTTACACCATCACAGTGATGAAGTAGTCAGTCTGAACCACAGGACAGGGGTGCACTCAAATCAGGCAGTCACCCTATAAGTTTTGAGTCAGATAGATTGCCGATACTTTGAAGTATGGATACGCATTTACAACGTCATGTTGCAAGCTTCGCACCACCCTTCATCACAAAACAAGAACAAGAAGCACTCATTGACAAGGAAGTGGTCCTCAGTATCAAAATTCCTCTTGGACACCTTTCGAAAAGGTTTTGGGGCCATTTCATAATCAAAGTACACCTACCTTCGAGCGTCTCTCCTTTAGATGCTGAGGAGAACTCTCTTGCGTTCTCAGTGGTGAGGACAAAGCCCCCTAATCTGCTCATCGCTGACTCAAATGAGAGCCGCGTCCTGGTGGAAGGCTCGTAGAACATAGTCGCCATAATGTACCCCTTGAGCGCTTCAGCGTCTGGAGAGCCCCTCTTCACGTTTTCCATCTCCCTTGTGACGTCAAACAGCTTTGCAAGAAGCTCCCGGTCAAATTGCTGCGCCTCAATGACGTGAGAGAGGGGCTTTGTGCGTTCTTTTTCATGGACGCCCGCCGCTGGATTCCCCATCATGACTGCGCCGATCGCCCCCCCTCGAGAACGCCTTTCACCTGGACTCAAATGATGCAGCTCATGTTGTGTTCCTCTAAGACGCGCCCTCTGGTGATGCAGCAGATTGGAGGGGACTGTGCAGAAGCAGCTTGTGGGGCTGGATTGGGGCAGCTGCCGAGGTTTCAAATTTGGGTGTGGTTGCAATCTAGTGGTGAAGATGGGGGAGGTGGTGGCAGCTGCCATGGTTGAGAGTACTCCCCAATCTTTCCACAAGGAACTCAATTCGAGTAGCAACACACACCACTCAGTCTAGCTTCATAGAAAAACTTTGCACCACCACCAGCACCAGCTAGCGAGGAAGCGTCCAATGCACCTGATCTCAATTTAGTGGCCCTGTAATTCAAGCAAAGCTCCTCCTAAAGCAGCTGAGCTGCATGCAATCGGCTCGTGAATCAGTAACAGGCCTGGAAGGAAGATGCAAGGGCGCCCTGAAACTTGTGACTTCGTTGAAAAACTTGGAGACTACAACCTACTAGTAGTATAGGGAGAAGTCTTTGGCGCGAAATCTCACAATCTCACCCTATGCTAGTTACTTCTGTCTAACTATTACCGAGGTCTCGAGCCATTACCACTCGCTAGTGACTAGATTCCCCACCAAGGCATGCAGGACTGGCCAGCTCAAAATCAGCAGCAGCTCAAACCAAAGTGAAGAGGCTTTCGCCATGGCGGCTAAGAACGTGATAGCTCAGCTGACAGACGCCGAAGGGAAGCCCCTGGGCACGCAGCTTGACCTGCCAGTTGATGCTGGGCCACCTCAGCTCGAAGCGCTGCTCAACCAATTGCTGCAGAACGATGAGGCGTTACCATATGCATTCTACATTGACAACAATGAGCTTCAGACGCAGCTGGGGCAGCATTTGACAGACCACAAGGTGTCAGTAGAAACTGTGCTGCAGATAGTGTATCAGCCCCAGGCTGTGTTCAGGTGAGCGTCCGGTTTTAGGGTTTCGAGCTTGAGCGCTCTGCAATGCTGTGAGGAGAGAAAAGCTTGTTGCTTGCTCTCGCGATGCTGGGAGTGGTGCGCAGAATCATCTCAATATGTCTATTCAGCATTATGGTCAGCATCATGGTTTGCTGTTTGTTGAGGTGGTGGGACAATTGATGGCAGGCTTATGTGAAGATTTATGATTGGACCGCATCTCTGGGCGTTCAATGTGGATGCAACGCTGTGCTGAAAATGGACAATCAGCTGTTGATCTGTGTGGTTTTCTTATGTAATAGGGCTTTTCTTTCATACTGACTGCATTCCAGCCAAAGACGTCCCCTATGTATCTCTCGTTCGTTTGAGCATGCTTATCAGTGGAGGAAGAGAACTTTTGACTGCAAGGGCGATCGTTATACCCCAAGCCTGCATTCAGATCTCAAAGCACTTCCTCTGAATTACACCACCCAAGCATCAAGGTCCATTTGAAGCAATTTGCCTGCTATTGACTTTCCATGAGTCCAATAAGCCAGAAGCCCCCTTCCCAACGTTGGACGCTCTTTCTACGGCCTCTTTCGCCCCCATGATCAGAAAGCCTCTTCGACCTTCTTATGGACCTCTGACTCTCCCTTCCTTACCTGAACATCACTCTTCCTTGCCCCCCTTTCCAAGTTTTGATGCTCTCATTTCTGTTTTTCATTTCTGTTTTGAGCAGTCACCTTCTAAGCCCCTTCTGTAAAACATCACCCCGAAGCCCCTCCCTTCCCTACTTTGTAACTGCCCCCATCACCGTTAGTCCCGTCTCTCCTCCGCACACCTCCTGACGTCTTCCATCCTTCCTTTTGAAAAGGCCGTCTGATTTCAAGGTACTCTTGGGCACAAAAGTCCTGCAAAAAATGTCATACGACGGCCCACAATACATCTTGAAAATTGCCTTTGGCAACTCGAATAACCCTGTGGAGAAAGTTGTTTGGTCGCCCAAAGGGGGCTGGCTTCCCGCCTGCCCCCTTCGAACCTTCGCTTCATCTGTCCAGGATACGCTTCGTCACTCGTTGTACTGTCACCATCACGTTCTTGCTCCCCATAGCCCGACAACCTTTTTGTCATCCATGCAAAACCGCCAAGCTCCCTCTGTCCAGGATACGCCCCGTCACCCGCTGCACGGCGACAATCCCAGGCCACGCGGAGGCCGCCCTTGTAGAAACTGCCCCAATCACTGTCCTGTCTCTGCTTCCCTTAGTTACCGGCAAACTTTCCTGTTGTTTGAACCGCAAACTTTGTTTCACCGTCCAGGATACACCCCGTCACCCGCTGCACTGCCACAATTCCCGGCCACGCGGAGGCCGTCCTGAGCACCGCGTTCAGCCCCGACGGGCAGCACCTCGCGAGCGGCTCCGGCGACACCACCGTGCGCTTCTGGGACCTCCACACGCAGACCCCCCTCTTCACATGCTCCGGACACAAAAACTGGGTCCTCTGCATCGCGTGGGCCCCCGACGGGACGCAGCTCGCGAGCGGGGGGATGGACGGGGACCTCTGGCTGTGGGATCCCCGGACCGGGAAAGCGGTTGCGGGGCCGCTGAAAGGGCATAAAAAGTGGATAACTAGTCTGGCGTGGGAACCGGCGCACCTGGCGGCCCCGTGCCGGAGGGTCGCGAGCGCGAGCAAGGACGCGGGGGTGCGGGTGTGGGACACGCAGACGAAGCGGTGTACGATGGTCCTGGCGCAGCACGCGCTGGCGGTGAGCTGCGTCAAGTGGGGGGGGGACGGGCTGATCTACTCCAGGTGAGGCAGGTGCGGCAGGGGATGATCTGTTACGCCCTTTTTGGTTTTTTTGTTGCAAGAAAAGTCGGGATCTGCCAGTGCCGGTTGGTGAAATCGGTTTCGAACAAGGTCGTATTAACAGGGTAATCTGCATTACTTGAAAGATGGTATTGTTACTTATACCAGGAGCAAGGTGCAAATTTGTTCGTAAGCCAAGTTATGATGATGAGCGTGAAAGATGTTGTAGCGAAAGGCGCGGACGACTCTTACTTTGAATTCAAACGACGGACAGCGGGCCAAGTTTGATGGTCGATGAAAACGCAGGATATTGACGTGCGGCTCAGCCACTGCAAGCTTCGCTGTATTTGTTGTGCGCACCGTTAATAAGGCGACTGGTCCCAAATCCTGCACCCCTTGGAGATTTGGCTGCCCTCAGTAGGCCAGGGTTGACGCTTGTGATTGGGTGAAGCTGTGACTTGGCAGCGTATCTCTTCGACTGATTGATCTGTGTACGCTAATGTTGGAAAGCCGAGGAGCTCCAAATGTGGCTCTCAGGATGTCAAAAGCGTGCCGGCCAGCTGGGCCTGCCTCTATTCGGTGCGGACCTATTCTTAAAAAGGAAAATTAGCCGCAACTCTACCTTACCCTGACCGATACAAAGGCGTTGGAGTCACACCCGTCCAGGCCTGAGGTTTGCACGGTTCCAGGGTCGACGAGAAAGCCAAATCCGCAACAGGACGCGCATCCCGGTCTCTTCGTTTAGACAGGCAGTTCTGGGCCCGTGCCCGCCCGTCGTTTGGTCCATTGCTCTTTCAGTGTCTTTTCTGCTCTGAGCAGCCCATTTGACGAGTAGCTATCATCGTTGGGTACGCAGACCACACCGATCTTCCTCGCTTCTTGCAGCTCCTCGATTGAAGACAACAACTCAGATAAATCCTTTCTCTCATTCACAGACGTTTCCGTCCTCCCCTGCCTGCTCTCAGCGGCAGTCCGAACGACCTTGCCATTTGTGCAACTGTGCGTCAGAACAACGTTCTCAGATTCGTTTCATCCACTTATCCGTTCGTCCGTTCCTTCTTCCGTCTGTCCGTTCAGCCATTCCTCCGTCCGTCTGTCCGTCCATTCATTCGTCCGTCCTCTGATTCCGTTTCCGGTCATTCCGTTCCGCAGCTCGCGCGACTGTTCAATCAACGTGTGGGAGACGACGACGGGCAAGCTGATTCGGCAGCTGAAAGGCCACGGCCACTGGGTGAATACGCTCGCGCTCAGCTCCGAGTACGTCCTCCGGTCCGGACCGTTCGACCACACGGGGGCCAAGCCCAGCTCTCCGGAAGAGTGCAAAGAGAAGGCGCTTGCGAGGTGGGGCCAACTTCAGTTTACTTGGTCTGTATACGTTCGCGGAGTTTGCTGTGTCTGGCCGCTTGGGCGATTGGACGATCTTGTAGTCCGCCCTTTGTTTCCGCTCTGGCGGATCCCAGATGTAGTTTGTAATTTGTTTCTGCGTTGTTTGATGGGATTGAAGGACGACTGGGAAGACCGTGGACGAAGACGGAGCCTCAGCATTGAGGTCACCGGTGAACAGGAAGAAGCGCAACGGTCGCTATTTCGTTGATAGTTGACGTTAGTGGAAGACAAGCTGGGGAAAAGCAGTTGGTTTCGATAGCCGTAGGTTGTCAGCATTTGGCGCCTTACGGAATAGGTTGGTTTTCGTGTAGAATACCCGCAGAGCATCAGGCTCCGATGGCGTCATATCTGACTCGCATTGGGGTCGGGCTTGATAGCGCAAAAGGCGCTGGGTCAAGTTGCTTCTCTGATCATATAGAGCCGTTCTTAAGGCGTTTCCTTCATGCAACCTCTGCAAACTTGTTGGCGAGCACCGGGCTTTCGGACGTTTTCTTCCTGGGTTTGTCAGCATCACGTCGAAGTTCTTCTGATAACTTCGTCGATGCGTTCCGACCCTCGAAGCGCGATCATGAGCCCGCGCACGTGTCCTCAACCCTCTTTGCTCCGACCGTCTGCAAGCGTCAATGAAGGGCCCCTCCATCGGCATCTGGCAAACGATCAGCCCTAAGTGGGCTGATTCTCAACAGCGCCACAAACAGTTACAAAGAAATTGCGGAAAGGGCGTCGACATGCATATTACAAGCACTGTCCATCATTCGCCGGAAGCTTATCAAGCATGTCTCGCCTCAGGTACACTGCCGTTACAGGCGCCTCCCCCGAGCGCCTCGTCTCCGGCTCCGACGACTTCACGCTCTTCCTGTGGGAACCGGGCGTCAGCAAGGCGCCAAAAGCGCGCATGACCGGCCATCAACAGCTGATCAATCAGGTGAGCCGTCTTGGGTCTGTTCACACAGAGCGGGTGTTGTTGATTTCGAGCGACTGTATAGCTGGGGCTGCCGTCGCTGAGAAAACACCGGGGGTGTTTTGCCAATCCGCCGATCGCACGGTCATACGTCAGCAAAAACACCGCGGTTTTGCAAATAGTCACCACGCTCTGGAGCGTGGTGATGAAGTAAACTTTTGCGATGACAATTTCACCGTCGCACGGGACCATTTTTGCGTGCGCAAGGTACCCCCCGAATTGTGTGGGAGACTTCTGTCAATACAACACCTTCGGTTCTCGGCAATTTAATAAAAGTTCACGCGCTCTGTATGTATAAAGACCCCTAGTATGTGCAAAGCCGCCAGGTGTCCGACTTCGTTCGTTGTCGTGGCCAAATTCTGTGGTTTGGTCCGAGGGCTTCGTCTTACCTCTCGCAATGATGATTTCATGATACTACACTGAATTCGCTGCGGAGTCCCCCTGATGAAGGCGGAGCGCTCTGAAGGTGGTTCTGAACCTTAAGAGACAGGCTACCTATATGTCCCCGCTGATACTCAAGGCGATTTATTGGGTTACCTTTGCCGAACGGACTCTTCCAAGTTGCTCCCTCTTTTTCCTGGCGTCTGTCTTTCCGTTGCACTCGTCATATCCGTCAGATATGACCAGGTGTCCTTCTTGCCGCTGCAAAAGTTGTCTTCCTCACCTTATCAGGTCTGTCCCTTATCGTCGATCTCGTCACAATTTTCACCAGGAGCGTCTCCGCCGTTGATTTTGCGGTTGCGTTCCCAGGTGTTCAAATCCGACTCTTCCAATCGATCTCGTCAGCATCGCCTCCGAACGCCCCTCTCGCCACTGCTTTCGCCGTGACAGTCCTAAGCGTGCAAGTCTGTATCGTAAGGAATTCGTCAAAGTTGTCACCGGAAGCATCGCTCGCCTTCGTTTTCGTCATCACCACCCCCAGCTTTTCAAGTTTGTAACCTTGCCGTCCGATCAAGTTATCAGATGCGGTTCCAACCGTTGATTCCGCCGTTCCGCTACC